ACATGGGACATTTTCAAAAATAGACCACATATTGGGTCACAAGCAAAGTCTCCCCAAATTCAAGAAGATTGAAATCATACCAAGCATCTTCTCAGATCACAATGGCATAATATTAGAAATAAACTACAATAAAAACAACCCAAAATACTCAAACACTTGGAAGCTGAATAGCATGTTATTAAATATTGATTGGGTTACCAATGAGATCAAAGAAGAAATTAAAAACATCCTGGAAACTAATGACAATGAAAACACAACAATCCAAAACCTATGGGACACAATGAAAGGAGTCCCGAGAGGGAAGTTTATAGCCCTACAGGCCTACCTCAAAAAACAAGAAAAAATGGTAGTAAATCATCTAATTCTACATCTCAAAGAATTAGAAAGAGCAACAAGAAAAGCCCAGAGTGAGCAGAAGGAAGGAGATGATAAAGATTAGAGCAGAAATAAATGACATAGAGACCAAAAAAGCAATACATAAAATCAACGAAACCAAGAACTGGATCTTTGAAAGGATAAACAAGATTGATGAACCTCTAGCCAGGCTCACCAAGAAGCAAAGAGAGAGGACCCAAATAAACAAAATCAGAAATGATAGAGGCAAAATAACAACAGACCCCACAGAAATACAAATGATTATTAAAAAATACTATGGACAACTCTACTCCAACAACCTAGACAACCTGGAGGAAAAGGACATATTCCTAGAAAAAGACAACATTCCAAAACTCAATCAGGAAGAATCTAAAAATCTCAATAGGCCAATAACTATGGAAGAAATTGAAGCAGTCATGAAAAAGCTTCCAGCAAACAAAAGCCCAGGGCCAGATGTCTTCACAGGGGAGTTTTACCAAACATTCAAGGAAGAACTAAAACCTACCCTCCTCAGACTACTACAAAAAATTCAAGAGGAAGGAACACTTTCAAGCTCATTCTAGGAAGCCAGCATCACCCTAATACCAAAACCAGATAAAGACAACACAATGAAAGAGAATTACAGGCCAATATCTCTCATGAACATAGATGCCAAAATCCTCAACAAAATCTTAGCAAATCGGATCCAGCAGTACATCAGAAAGATCATACACCATGACCAAGTAGGATTATCCCAGGGATGCATGGATGGTACAATATCTGCAAATCAATAAACGTGATACATCACATAAACAAATTGAAAGAAAAAAACCACATGGTCATATCAATTGATGCAGAAAAAGCATTGGACAAAATCCAACACCCATTTCTGATAAAAACTCTCAGCAAGGTGGGAATAGAGGGATCATACCTCAACATAATAAAAGCCATATATGACAAACCCACAGCCAACATCATACTCAATGGACAAAAACTAACACCATTTCCCCTAAGAACAGGAACAAGACAGGGATGCCCACTCTCACCACTCCTGTTCGACATAGTACTGGAAGTATTAGCCATTGCGATTAGACAAGAAGAAGAAATAAAAGGCATCCAAATTGGAAAAGAAGAAGTAAAACTGTCCTTATTCGCAGATGACATGATACTGTACTTAGAAAACCCTAAAGACTCCATCAAAAAACTATTAGACTTAATAAATTAATTTGGAAATGTAGCAGGATACAAAATAAATGCCAAGAAGTCTATTGCATTTCTGTACACCAATAGTGACCTTACAGAAAGAGAGACTAAAAAAGCATTCCCATTTACCATCGCATCAAAAAAAGTAAGATACCTAGGAATAAACTTAACTAAAGAGGTAAAAGACCTCTACTCAGAAAACTACAGGATGTTGAAAAAAGAGATAGAGGAAGACATAAACAGATGGAAGAACATACCATGTTCTTGGATTGGTAGAATCAACATCATTAAAATGTCCATACTACCCAAAGCAATCTATAAATTCAACTCACTTCCCATTAAAATACCAACGGCATATTTCACAGATCTAGAACGAATTCCAAAAATTCATCTGGCATAAAAAATGACCCCGAATAGCTGCTGTGATCCTGAGAAAGAAGAACAAATTAGGTGGGATCTCAATACCAGATATCAAGCTGTATTACAAAGCCACTGTTCTCAAAACTGCCTGGTACTGGCACAAGAACAGACATATAGATCAATGGAATAGAATAGAGAGCCCAGAAATCTACCTGAACCAATATGCTCAATTAATATTTGACAAAGGAGGCAAGAACATACAATGGAGTCAAGACAGTCTCTTCAATAAATGGTGTTGGGAAAATTGGACAGATACATGCAAAATAATGAAACTAGACCACCAACTTACACCATACACAAAAATAAACTCAAAATGGATAAAGGACTTAAATGTAAGATGGAAAACCATAAAAATACTAGAGGAATCCAAAGGCAACAAAATCTCAGACATATGCCGAAGCAATTTCTTCACTGATATAGCTCCTAGGGCATTGGAAACTAAAGAGAAAATAAACAAATGGGACTACATCAAAATAAAAAGCTTCTGCACAGCAAAAGAAACCATCAACAAAACAACAAGAAAGCCCACTGCATGGGAGAACATATTTGCCAATGTTATCACCAATAAGGGTTTAATCTCCAACATTTATAGGGAACTCATACAACTTAACAAAAGAAAGATAAACAACCCAATCCAAAAATGGGCAACGGACCTAAATACACACTTTTCAAAAGAGGACATTCAGAAAGCCAAGAGACATATGAAAACATGCTCAAAATCACTAATCAGCCGAGAGATGCAAATCAAAAGAACAATGAGGTACCATCTCACACCTGTCAGAATGGCTATCATCAACAAATCAACAAACGACAAGTGCTGGAGAGGATGTGGAGAAAAAGGAACCCTCTTGCACTCCTGGTGGGAATGCAGGCTGGTGCAGCCACTATGGAAGACAGTATATTGTTTCCTCAAAAAGTTAAATATGGAACTCCCTTTTGACCCAGTGATCCCACTTCTAGGAATATATCCCAAGAAATCAGAAACACCAGTCAGAAAGGATATATGCACCCCTATCTTCATAGCAGTACTATTCACCATAGCTAAGATTTGGAAACAGCCTAAGTGCCCATCAGCAGATGAATGGATTAGGAAACTGTGGTACATCCACACGATAGAATACTATGCTGCTCTAAAAAAGAAGGAATTCTTTCCATTTGCAACAGCATGGATGGAACTGGAGAGCATTATGCTAAGTGAAATAAGCCAGTCAATGAAAGAAAAATACCACATGATCTCACTCATTTATGGATAATTAAGAGCATTATAAACTGATGAGCAAAAATAGATACAGAGGCAGAGCAACATCGAACAGACTGTCAAACTACAGTGGGAAGGCTGGGGAGGGTTGGCGGGTCAGAGGGGTGGGGTAGAGATCAACTGAAGGACTTGTATGCATGCATACGAGCATATCCAATGGACACAAGACATTGGGGGGCATGGGAGGCTACAGGAGGGTCAAGGGGAGGAAAAAAAAGGAGACATATATAATACTCTTTGTAATACTTTAAGCAATAAAACAATTAAAAAAATAAAATATCCAAAAAAAATAAAATAAAAGCCTAAGTGACCGTTACGTCTGAACGACTGGTCAACCAGTCGCTATGATGCACACCACCATGGGGCAGTTGCTCAATGCAGGAGCTCCCCCCTGGTGGTCAGTGCGTTCCCACAGCCAACCTCTTGAGGTTTTTTCCCCTGGCCAGCAGGCCCCAATCGGGACTGGGCGAGATGGCTCCGATTGGCCCTGATCACCGGCAGGCCTAGGGACCCCACCCGTGCATAAATTCGTGCACCAGGCCTCTAGTGTAAATATACAAGGTTAAAATTCCAGTCATGATTCCTTAGGCCTTTCGAGCAAAACCATGTACATAAGTAAAAATTGAGTAAGAGTATTGTTAAAATATAAAACATGATTAAGAGCAAGTCTCAAGTCATTTTGAGTTTTAAAAGACTTCTGTGAAATAAAGACTGATAGAAATTAAAGTTCCTGGTTACATGGAATAGAAGCATAAAACTGGGGTTCCTTAAAGTCATGCTAAGTGAAATAAGTCTTCTGGGATGATATCAGAAGAGCAACTGACGTCCTTTTTAGGGAAAAAGCTATTTAAGAGATGAACTCCAGGCAGAATACACCATGGGAATAAATATTTAGGAAATGAAAACTAGAAACCACTACCTAAAGGAGTCCTTGCTTGAGAAAAAGAGACTATGCGTAGTTCAGACATTTTTCCAAAAATTAAAAATCTCTTGATACTAACTTTTAAACACCAAAATTTTTACTGCTACCTATTTCATTACCTTTTTGCTGGAGGAATTAAATTTTCTCTGTAAAGAAACAAAGATGCAAAAATATTTAGTTGGATCTTCTTTGCCATCATTAAGTAGAGCAAATATTTTTTAATCTATCAAAAGTATGTAGTTTTATCATGGAATACTATGCAGCTCTTACCCTTTGAGATATCATGGAGGGACCTGGAGAGTATTATGCTAAGGGAAATAAGCCAGTCAGACAAAGACAAGTATCACATGATCTCACTCATGTGGAATCTAATGAACAAAGTAAACTGTTGAACAAAATAGATCCAGATACATAGAAGCATGGAACAGATTGTCAAATCTCAGAGGGAAGGTGGGGGTGGGGTGGGGAGTGGGAAGAGATCAACCAAAGAACTTGTATGCATATATGCATAACCCATGGACACAGACAATAGGGTGGTGGAGGCAAGGGGCAGGGGCAGGCTATAAGGGGTCAGTAGGAGAAAAAAGGGGACATATGTAATACTTTCAACAATAAAGATTAAAAAAAAAAACCAAAGGGACAAGGAAAGAAAGTATGTAGTATAGTTAAAATATAATTGATTTAGCTTCTTAAAGAAATTTGAAGACAAATTTTGCCTTCATAGAAGAAAATTTTTTCGTGTGTGTGTTTTTTTTCTGTTCTGGATAAAACTTTGTTTTTTCTGAGCCCGATAGTTAATAATTTTGGGATTAAATGTATTAATAGTTATTTCTACTTTTATAGTTCTACTTGTCCAATTCTGAAAGGGAACATTATGAAAAAGAATTCAGCCAAGAACGACAACAAGAAATTTTGAGAAGAACAGCGAAGGACTTACCTATCTACACCACATCAGGCTCAAGGAGTAAGAAAAACAAATTTTAAGCTTTTCTACTCAAAGCATTTTTAAAAATATGGTCATACCTGCCAAGATTTATTTGCATGATTTGACTATTAAATGGATATTGCAATTCCTAAAATAACATAGGCAAGAATAAGATTTTTCTAATGTTCTGTCTTCTGTGATATTTTAGATATAGATATGTACATATACTGATACAGATTTTTTAAGAGGTTCCCTTTAATATGAGTCTCTTTTTCTCTACATATTCTTTTTTTCCCAACTTCACCTTTATGGCTAAAAGTTTCAGTTATGATTCTTAGTAAACTATCATTTGGAAATTCTGGTTTGAGTTTGAATATTATGTGTCATCTCTGAGTAATTATAAAAAATCAAGAACATGCTAAATTAGAGAGGAGAGAAGTAGAAGCTAATATTCAGAGCCAGAATTTGAACTCAGGTTTGTGTGGTGCCAAAGCTGTTGGTATTTCCACTGTCCCACTGCCTCCATTGAGAGATATGTGACTGCAGTAGCAGCTTCCTTTTCTCAGGGACAGAACCTTATGATAGGGGTGAAACTATGAGTGGCCAAACTGATTATTTAAATATAGTAGTCTGTTTTAAATTATGTATCATGTAACTCATGAATTCATTAAATACTAGATAATAGTAATAGCTAACAATTACTCTGTTCTAAGTGCTTTGTACCTATAAACTCATTTAAACTTCACAATAATCCTGTGAGGGTGATACTGTTGTCTACAGATTAGGAAACTGAGACACAATGGGCTTAAGTATCTTTTTCAAGGTCACACAGATATATGTAAAAAAAATGGGTTTAAATCAAAGTGCTCTGGCTTCAGGACCCACCAATGCTTCTCCACCCAATGGGAAAGAAAAGATTTTTCCTGTGTATAGTTATATACACATTGTGAGTTCAGAAACTATAAAGTTTGCACAAGATTTTTGGAGGGGATATTTGACCAAGTTTTTCGTGGTTTTTTTTTGATGCATTTAATGCTGTCCTTCTTACATAATTTAGTATATTACCATATGGAATGAAAACATGGATTTCAGATCAAACCCCAACTTTCCTATTACTAGTAGTACAATGAGAGTTAGTTAAACTTTCTAAGCCCTAGTTTCCTCATTTTAAAATGAGGATAATATCTACATCTCTGGGTTAGTGGAAGTATTAAATGAGAAACATAGATGAGATATGCACTTAGTATAGATCTTTGTACATAATGAATTTTCAATATATGATAGCTAATTTAAAATAATCCTTTGTTAAAAAATATTTTTATTGGTTTTTAGAGAGAGAGAGAAAGGAAAAGGGAGAGAGAGAGAAACATCGATCAGCTGACTACCGTACGTCCCCTACCAGGGATCAAGCCCTAAACCCCAGCATGTGCGCTTACCAGGGATAGAACCTTATGGTACATCCTTATGGTGCATGGACATTGCCCAACCAACTGAGCCACATCAGCCAGGGCAATCCTTTCTTATATTTAATTATGAAAGGTCTGGTTAATAATAATTCTTAGTAGTTAACAATACTTCTCTGCAAATTAGATGTGTTTAACCCAAAGTCCAAGATTTCAAAGAATTTAGGAAGCCCTGAGGTTTTACACAAAATTTCAAGTAGCCTATTCATAACAAGATCATCTGAGCAGTACATGTGCTCCAAAGAGTTAAGAGCCATGATGTAAAATCTTGACTCTTTTTAAAAAATATACATTTTATTGATGTTTTTACAGAGAGGAAGGGAGAGGGATAGATAGTTAGAAACATCGATGAGAGAGAAACATCGATCAGCTGCCTCCAGCACACCCCCTACTGGGGATGTGCCTGCAACCAAGGTACATGCCCTTGACCGGAATCGAACCTGGGACCCTTGAGTCCGCAGGCCGATGCTCTATCCACTGAGCCAAACCAGTTAAGGCTTGACTCTTTTTTTAAAAAAATATTTTTATTGGTTTTTAGAGAAGAAGGGAGAGGGAGAGAGAAACATCTGTTTGAGAATGGATCATCGTCCCTGCAGAGGATTAAGCCCACAGCCCGTGCATGTGCCCTGACCAGCAATTGAACTGGCAGCCTTTCGGTGCACTGCACAACGCCCAGCCACCTGAGCCACACCAGCCAGGGTTAAAATCTTCACTCTTAAAAAAGCTTTACTGCTTTTCATTACATAAAATGGCTGCCCTCTAATCTGAATAATAGCTTCATCTATTGAATACTACATCAGGATCAGGCCAAGCACTTTATTGGTGATTGTTTAATCCTCAGAACAATTCTGAGATGGGTGCTGCACTTGTCCCCATTTTAGAGATGTGAGGCACAGTGATAAATACCCAGCGTCCCAAGTGGCCAGGCCTGGGATATGTGCCTTCTGACTGCTGGCAGGTCTTGTTCTGGGGAACTATTTTATACTGCATTTCTACTGCTTAGAATCCCAAACGCTGGGGCTTTTTCTTTTTCTTGCTATAGAAGCAATATCTATAGAGCTTTAAAGAACAAAGTTACAGAAAGTCGACCTTTCATAGACCAGAGATCATTGAAAGTATGGAGCTGCCTTCACAGAGGGGAGTTAGGGTGCTGGGCATCAGAGTGGGGTCTTCTCACTGAATTCTTTTGTGTGTGCTTTTTCGAGCTGTGTGGATATATTATTATCTATTCAGGAAACAAAATGTGTCTTTCTAAACCTTCTCCCCTCCAATCTCAATCCAACCAGCCGTTATCTCTAGCTTTGTTCCACACTGTTTCCTTATGTTAACTCTGCTAACACAGAGGTGGAGTTGTCCTTCCCCACCTTTTTTTTTCTTTTTTCTTTTGGTTGTTGTGTCTGCCTGGAATGATTATTTTTCTCCCTTTAAATCCAGTTTAAAGTTTTAATTCACTGTCCACCTCTCTGCAACTTTTTTCACTTTAACAAGAAGTGATTTAGTGAGTCTTCTCAGAACATCTCAAATTTTTACCTTGTAGACTATAAGTCAAAGCCTTTTAGTTATCGATGTCCTTCTCACTTTACTGACTTTAAGCCTCTGGCAGCCAAGAGTTCTCCCATGGTCTCTAACACAGTGTCTCAATAAACAGGCATCAAGAGATGTCTGTGGAGTGACTCTATTTCTGGGTGTTCTCTTTCATGGCTATTTGTACTTTATTTATTTATTCATTTATGTATTTATTTGTGTGCACTTTTTTAAAAAATATATTTTATTGATTTTTTTACAGAGAGGAAGGGAGAGGGATAGAGAGTTAGAAACATCGATGAAAGAGAAGCATTGACAAGCTGCCTCCTGCACACCTCCTACTGGGGATGTGCCCACAACCAAGGTACATTCCCTTGACCGGAATCGAACCTGGGACCTTTCAGTTCGCAGGCCTACGCTCTATCCACTGAGCCAAACCGGTTAGGGCTGTGTGCACTTTTTATCTCCCTGGTTTTCTCTCCTTCACTAATTTTTCTCATCATACAATTTTACTTAAATTTTAAATAAATTAAATAAATTTTAATTATATTTTATTAAAAATAATATTTTTATTATAGTGATAACTGCTTTATTGAGAATCTGCTATGTTCAAAGGTTTCATTTTAATCTGCAAACTAGTTCATTATAATTGATATTATTTACATTTACAGAAGAGGAAACGGAGGCTCTTAGAATGTAAGTTACTGGCCCAAGGTCATCAGCTAGTCATTGGGCGTACTAGTATCAAAACTGATGACAGAGTTATTAGTTGTCCATTTCCCCAGAGTTATTTATACAAGAAATGAAAGCAAATTTTATAGTCAAATTAACTAAACTTGTATATCCTTCAACACCTTCTAATTCTTAAATGTAGCCATCAGATATTGTGAAAGATGTCAGTTGATTAAACCTGACCGGGCGCATCACTGCTCAGCATGTGACATGTAAGTGTTACCCTCATTTGCTTTCCTTTAACCCCAGCATTGGAAATTGGTGACAGGAGAACAGAAGGGGAAGGAACATTTTATATGCTTTATACTTAGCAAAAACACTTCATCCTCTCCCATTATTTGCTATATATGTGGGCTAACATTAATATTTCCATAAACTAGAATATACTTTGACGTAGTCTTTAATAATAGTTCCTGTACTGGTTGATGGAATTTTCTTTTTTTTTAATCCTCACCTGAGGATATATGTTATTAGAGAGAGGAAGAAAGAGAGAGAGAGAGAGAGAGAGAGAGAGACAGACAGACAGACAGACATTGATTGGTTGCCTCCCGTACGATCCCCAACTGGGGATCAAACCCACAACCTAGGTATGTGTCCTGAACCCATAAACTTTTGGTGTATGGGACGATGTTTCCACCAACTGAGCCTCCCAGCCAGGGCTGATGGAGTTTTCTTTAAATATATTTTTTATGTTTATGCTTAATATAATATTGATGAACAAGTAAGTAATTACCCCCTTAAGAATAACTATTTCCTGGATTAAAATGTTAATTTTTTTGTTTTTTATTATAAATGTTGATATTAAAACCTAATAAGCCACACACAAAAAAAATATTTCTTTAATTTTCATCTGTAACATTGTTCCCAGAAAAAACTTAAAAGATTTTATTCCTGTGCACTTGTTAGAAGATAATGTGTTAGAAGGAAAGATCCCTAGTTTGGGAATCCCAGTTAATTCTTGCACTTGAGTTAGACAAGTTATTTAACCTTCTGGGTTTAACTTTATCATTTATTATGTTAATGGAGATGATCTGTGGTCTGACTTTATAAATATACAAAAGGCCTGGTGCATGATCGGGGCCGGGGAGGGCCGCAGGAGGGTCCCAGGGCATGTCCGGCCCATTTTGCCCAGTCCCAATTGGCTGGACCTCAGCAGCAAGCTAACCTACCAGTCTGAGCATCTGCCCTCTGGTGGTCAGTGTGCGTCATAGCTACCGATCGAATGGTCACTTTAGCTTTCATATATAGATAGATTACATATACTGGCAGGGAGGCAAATTTTGGGATTTTTTTTTAAATTATAAAAATATAGTAATGCTTATCCATGGATAGAATTTTATAAAATACTAGAGGCCCAGTGCACAAAAATTTGTGCACTGGGGTGGGGGGGAGGGGGGGCCCTAAGCCCGGCCTATGTCCTCTCGCAGTCTGGGACCCCTCGGGAGATAACGACCTGCTGGCTTAGGCCTGCTCCCGGGTGGCAGAGGGCAGGCCCAATCCCTAGGTGCAGCCCCTGGTCGGGCTCAGAGCAGGGCTGATTGGGGAGTTGGGGCACTGCCCCCTGTCATGCACAGAGCAGGGCGGATTGGGAGGTTGCGATGCCACCCTCAGTCACGCTCAGGGTATGGCTGATTGGGGGGTTGGGGCACCGCCCCCTATCACACTCAAGGCAGGGTCGATGGGGAGGTTGCGGCCCCATCCCCTGTCACGCACAGAGCAGGGACAATCAGGGGGTTGGGGGCGCTGCCCCCTGTCACCCACAGAGCAGGGCCCATCAAGGGGGTTGGGGGCTCCGTACCCTGTCACGCACAGAGCAGGGCCAGTCAGGGGGTTGGGCGCTGCGCCCTGTCATGCACAGAGCAGGGCCCATCAGGGGGTTGGGGAGCTCCCCGCTGTCATGCACAGAGCAGGGCCAATCAGGCGGTTGAGGAGCTCCCCCCTGTCACACACAGGACAGGGCCCATCAGGGGGTTGAGGAGCTCCCCCCTGTCACGCACAGAGTAGGGCCGATAGGGGAGTTAGGGCACTGCCCTCTATCACCCACAGAGCAGGGCCGATCAGGGGGTTGGGGCGCCGCCACTGTCACACTCAGGGCAGGGCCGATGGGGAGGTTATGGGCTCTACCCCGTCACACACAGAGCAGGGCCCATGGGGGGAGGGGGGGTTGGGGGCGCCGCACCCTGTCACACACAGAGCAGGGCCGATCAGGGGGTTGGGACGCCGCACCCTGTCACACACAGAGCCACAGGGCGATCAGGGGGTTGGCGCTGCCCCCTGTCACGCTGAGCCGGTGCCCGAGCCTCGCGTTTCCGCTGATCCCGGTGCTGGGAGGCATATTACCCTTTTTACTATATAGGATAGAGGCCTGGGACCGGCCTGGATTGCCCTGAAGGGTCCTGCTGGGATCAGGGTGGGGGGCCCCCCCTGGGGTGCCTGGGCCAGCCTGGATGAGGGATGATGGCTGTTTGCAGCTGGTCACACACCTTCAGGGTGGGGGTCCCCACTGGGGTGCCTGGCCAGTCTGGGTGAGGGGCTGAGGGCTGCTTTCAGGCTGGTGGTTGTTGAATGAAGCTCCCAACTGCTCCTTTTTTTTTATTTTATTCTGGGCCAGCTTTAGCTCTGGCTCTAACTCTGAGAGCAGGTATCTGGTTTGTTTCGGTTCTATAATCGAAACAATGTATAACTCCAGCTCTGAGATCCCGGCCTATATTTGTTAGAATGTTTCAAACTGCCAGCTCAGAGGCCGGCAAGTCAGGTGGGGAACATTGGAGTCTGCAGTCACTGAAGCAAGCAAGCCTCATGTTTACTTCCAGCTGCCTGGCTGCCGGCCACCATCTTGGCTGACAGTTAATTTGCATAAGGATATGCTGATTAGCCAATGGGAAGGGTAGCGGTCGTACGCTAATTACCATGTTTCTCTTTTATTAGTGTAGACTAGAGGCCTGGTGCATGAAATTCATGCATGGGTAGGGTCCCTAGGCCTGGCTGGCAATCAGGACCAATCTCTGGGGTGACCGGTGGGGCGATTGGGGGAGCCCCCGCTGGCACCCGCCTTGGCTGGCCTGGTGCTGCCCGCTCGCCAGCCCTGCCCCCCGCCACCACCGTTGGTCCTGCAGGCTGGGGGCAGCTCCTGCGTTGAGCGTCTGCCCCCTGGTGGTCAGTGCACATCATAGCATCTGGTCGTTCCACCGTTCGGTCGATTTGCATATTAGGCTTTTATTTTATAGGATGTGGAAAAAATAACCACATATAAGCCCATCAGTATTAATATTTTAACATAGTTGCTTCTAAAGTTTTCTTCTTATGACTTGCACAGATTTAAAATACGGATTGTCTGTATTTCATTTCATTTCCCTTAGCTGATTTGTGAGCTGGACTAGCTAATGTACCAAGTGCATCATATCTGTGTGTTAAAATGTCTGTCTCTTAATGTGGTCCAAGGCAGAAAACTATTACCTTTTACCTATGAAAGTATTGGTGAAAATATCAGAAAATTTCTCTAATCTAATGCTTACTTGGTTGGTTTTTCTAAGATGTATTTGTAAAGAGAAAAATGTAAGGGAAAAAATTATCAACAATGAGAATTATGTTTATTTGTTTTTTAGATGTATTCTTAAGATGGATCATCACTGTCCTTGGTATGTATAAACACAGAGGAAGTCACATATAAGGGTGGAGAGGTGGGAAGGAGAGAAAATTTTCAAGATCAACTTAATTACTTATATACAACTAGAGGCCCGGTGCACGAAATTCGTACACTGGGGGGGGGTGGGTGGTGTCCCTCAGCCCAGCCTGCACCCTCTCCAATCTGGACCCCTCAAGGGATGTCCGACTGCCGGTTTAGGCCCGATCCCTCTCACAAGTGCATGTACCAATCTGTGGGGTGACCGGTGGGGCGATTGGGGGAGCCCCTGCTGGCACCCGCCTTGGCTGGCCTGGTGCTGCCCGCTCGCCAGCCCTGACCCCCGCCACCACCGTTGGTCCTGCAGGCTGGAGGCAGGACTGCTGGCTCCCAACCGCTCGCCTGCCTGCCTGCCTTATTGCCCCTAACTGCTTCTGCCTGCCAGCCTGATTGACCCCTAACCACTCCCCTGCCAGCCTGATCACCCCCAACTGCCCTCCCCTGCCAGCCCGGTTGCCCCTAACTACCCTCCCCTGCTGGCCCGGTCGCCCCCAACTGCCCTCCCTTGCAGGCCTGGTCGCCCCTAATTGCCCTCTCCTGATGGCCTGATTGCCCACAACTGCCCTCCCTTGCCAGCCATCTTGTGGTGGCAATCTTGTGACCACATGGGGCGGCCATCTTGTGCGAGGGTATGACGGTCAATTTGCTTATTACCGCTTTACTATATAGGATAAGATTGATCTATTTATATACATGTCTATGTTAAATGTTTTCCTTTAAAAATATATTCTGATATTGGTAATCCAAATAATTATATATTAAGAATTAATATTAAATTTCCAAGTTCCTTATGGAATTTATTAAAACACATTCACAATTAAGACATTGCTCCCTACTTTCCAAATGACCCATTTCCTAATAAAAATGATTAAGTTTTTTTGAAATGTATTGTTTATTATTATGATTTAAAAAAACATACATTTTACCATCTTAACCATTTCTAAGTTCAGTTTAGTATTGTGAAGTATGTTCATATTGTGCAACCAGTCTTCAGAACTTTTTGATCTTGCAAAACTGAAAATGTACCCATTAAACAGCTTCTCATTTTCCCTCCCTCAGCCCCTGGCAAACATTCTAGTTTTTGTTTCTGTGAGTTTATGATTTGTCTTATTTTTACAGTGTGACCTTCTTTATTCTTCTAGGGTGAATAACTGTGTGGGATTTTCTAATTACAAATTCTTCCTGCTGTTTTTATTGTATTCCCTATTATATTGCCTGTTCGTGGCTACAACAGTTTTACAGTACTTTATAAAATTTTGGACGGTAAGTCTTTTTTTATCTGAAAACATGTTTAAGACTTTTTAAAATGCTCTATTCATAAATAATTTATTCTTTATTACAAGTAGATATACTTTATTTTAATTTTACTAGTTAGAATTTATAATGGATCAGAGGGCAAACAGGGTAATATTTTCCTACATGTATACATGTTTATTTTAAGTAAATGAATATTAAACAGGATGTAGTGAGCTTCTTTCTAGTGATCCAAACTGTTTTCAGCCACACTCTTAATAGTGGACATAACAATTTTAGGGAAGTAATTGCTTTTATTTGAGTTGATGAGACTTACTGAAGTTTTATAGTAATAAAACTGATATTCTCAAGCCTATATAATCACTAATCTCTGTTATATCTGTATAGACATTAATCCTTTTTCTATCATGAGTTGCAAATGTTTTTTCCACATTTTCATTTTATATCTTACTAGAGGCCCAATGCATGAAATTTGTGCATGGGTAGGGTCCCTAGGCCTGGCCAGCAATCAGGGCCAATCTGTGGGGTGACCAGCGGGGCGATCAGGGGACCCCCGCTGGCACCCACCTTGGCTAGCCTGGGGCCTGCAAACTCAGGGTAGTTTCTGTGTTGAGCGTCTGCCCCCTGGTGGTCAGTGCGCGTCATAGCAACCGGTCGTTCCACCGGTCATTCTGCCATTTGGTCAATTTGCATATTAGGCTTTTATTATATAGGATAACCCTGCTTTATTTTTATCAAATCAAAGTTTTATATTTTAAAGCAGTACTTTTTAAAAAATATATATTTTATTGATTTTTTACAGAGAGGAAGGGAGAGGGACAGAGAGCTAGAAACATCGATGAGAGAGAAACATCGATCAGCTGCCTTCTGCACACCCCCCACTGGGGCTGTGCCCGCAACCAAGGTGCATGCCCTTGACAGGAATCGAACCTGGGACCCTTCAGTCTTCAGGCTGATGCTCTATCCACTGAGCCAAACCGGTCAGGGCTAAAGCAGTACTTTTTTAATGACTTCCAATTTTAAGGGTTTTTTAAATTTAAAAGCAGTACTTTGTATTTATGATTCCTGGCTTTAGTTTGTTTGCTATAAATTTCTTCTGGAATTTTTGTTTGTGTTTTCACATTTAATTCTTTGATTTTGAAAGGGGGGTTGTTGTGGTTGAAAAGTACTTTTGGCCCTGGCCTGTGTTACTCAGTGGTTAGAATGTTGGCCCACGCACCAAAGGGTCATGGGTTCGATTCCCAGTCAAGGGTATGTACTTGGGTTGCAGTTCGATCCCCGACCCCTGTCGGGCTGCTTGCAGAAGGCAACCAGTCAGTGTGTCTCACATTGATGTTTCTCTCTCCCCCCCTCTTTCCCCTCCTTCCCTTCCACTCTGAAAAGCAATGGAAAAAATATCCTCAAGTGAGGATTAAAAAAAAAAAGTACTTTAGGAATTTATTCCTAAAAACCCTCTGAAGGTGTTTTAAAATACAGGTTTTGTTATTATTCAGGTATGGTGAAGCCAACAGATAAGGAGGTAATTACCATTGAAAGGATAGTTTGTCACTCAACAGTTCCCAAGGGCGAAGGCATGCCATACCGTGCTATACCACACAGAGCCACACAGGGAAGCACTGGGGTCATGCAGTAAGCAGAAGGGGCAAGCCCAGAGCCTTTATTGTGGTTTCTGCAGGAAAGGCAGGGCATTGTAGGGCACGGGGATTTATAATTAACCAGTTTGAATAATTCAGTACTCTCTGGGCATACAGGCTGTTCCTGGTTGTCTGATACTTAACTCTAGGGCAGGGGAATATTGCATCCTAGAGTGTAAGAGTCAGGCAGAGGGGGTGGTTTGGAATTTGGGCTCTAACTGGTTGGTTTGTACATGAGAGATACATTCCTTGCTGTCTCTTAAGAATTAGATAGCCCTGCGAGTGGCAGTTTCTTCCCAGTCAGCAAGGCCCAAGATATCAGAGCATCAAGAACATAGAAAATAAGAAAGTATACTTAATGCAGAGGGACTATTATTATTATTCCAATTTTCAGAGTTGGAAAATGAGGATAGAGAAGTTAGATAACTACCCAAGGTCACATATTTGATAGTATTGGAAGCCAGAATTTTAACTGACATCTGTCTATTCCAACATACAGATACTTACCACTATGACTTGCTATTCATAATCATAGTTGGGAAGAACATAATTAAAGGCTCAAGTCATAAAACACAGTTATTTTTTCATGAAATACCTAATACATTTTGGAAGGATTTTATTTAAAACATCACTAGATGTTTAAAATTTGGGTATTTAAAACCAGGGGATGCTGACATTGCCTTTGAGCATGTTAGAAAAGAGCACCCCATATCTCTGTGGTCTTAGCCTAATGAATTTTGGCCTCTATTGTTTCCCTACCTTGGTATCTTTGTTCAGTTTACAACCTACTTAACCATACTCAATGGCCCTATTTAAAGGAAAAGGATTCGGTGCCAGATGAATGAAGTCCAAATTATAGAATTTCTCATTTCTTTATCAGAAACTTCAGCACTGTTTGCATGTAATGATTTATTAATTAAGGAATATTAACTTTTTTAGGTTAATCATGTTAAGAAAGTCTAGTAAACTTAAATCTACCTTTTTCTTCATTTGTTCAACAAATATTTACTTACCACCTATAATGTGCCAGGCAGTATTCTAGGCACTTGGGATATATCAGTGAACAAAACAAAGAGTAATGTCTTTGGAAGAAGGAATCAAATAATAAACATAATAAATAAGTAAATTATATATTAGAAAGTAAATGCTGTGAAGAAAATAAAACTAGGGTAAGGGATTTGGCAAGTGTATGATAGTGGGTAGGATAGGTGCAGTTTGCAGCATTAAAGAGAGTGATCATGTAGACCTTAGTAAGAAGTTTTGAGGAAAGACATTAAGTTAGTGGATATCTGAGAGAAGAACATTTATGCAAACAACACAGGATTACCTAAATATATAAAGCAAATATTATATTAACAGACTTAAAAGGAGATATAGCCCGGCTGGTGTTGTGCAGTGATTGAGTGTTGACCTATGAACCAGGAGGTCACAGTTCCATTCCCAGTCAGGGCACATGCCCGTGTTGCAGGCAGGAGGCAGCCAATCGATGATTTTCTCTCATCATTGATATTTCTATCTCCTCTCTCCCTCTCCCTTCCTCTCTCTGAAATTTTAAAAATATTTTTAAAAAGGAGATATAGACAGCAATATAATAATAGCAGGGGACTTTAATACCCCACTTTAATCAGTGGATAGATCATCCAAACAAAAAGTCAATAAAGAAACATCTACCTCACCCTAGCTGATTTGGCTCAGTGGATAGAGCGTCAGCCTGCAGACTGAAGGGTCCCGGGTTTGATTCCAGTCAAGGGCACATGCCTGGGTTGCAGGCTCCATCCCCAGTAGGAGGCATGCAGAAGGCAGCCAATCAATGATTCTCATCATTGATGTCTCTCTCTCTCTCTCTCTCTCTCTCTCCCTCCCTCCCTCCCTCCCCCCTCTCTCAAATCAATAAAAATATATTTAAATAAATAAAAATAAAAAAATGTGTTTTAAAAAAAAGAAACATCTACCTCAAATGACACATTAGTCCATATGTACTCAACAAACATGTAGTGAACACTCCATCAAAAAACCACAGAATACACATTCTTCTTAAGCACACATGGAACATTCTCAAAGATCTAAACAATAGATCTTTTTTAGTCAAAAAAACAAGTCTTAATAAATTTAAGAAGATTGAAATCATACAAAGTATCTTTTCCAACCACAATGGTATAAAACTAGAAGTCATTTACAAGAAGACAACTGGGAAATTCACACATAAGTGTACATTAAATGGTACTGAACAACCAGTGGATCAAAGAAGATATTAAAAAATACCTTGGGACAAATGAAAATGGAAGTAAAACACACCAAAACTTACAGAATGCAGCAAAAGCAATTCATAGAGGGAAGTTCATAATGATAAGCACCTACGTTAAGAATTAAGAAAGATCTCAATGCAACTTCAAAACTCAAGAACTAGGAAGCGAAGAACAAATGAAGCCAAAGTCAGCAGGAAGAAGGAAATAACAAAAATCAGATCAGGGTTCATTCAGAATTCAGCTACCAGGGAGATTAAAAATGGTGGTGGAGTAAGTGGATGCTATACAGACACGTTCCCAGGACCAATGAGATATTACCTCATACCTGTCAGAACAGCTACCATCAACAAATGACAAGCACTGATGAGGATGTGGAGAAAAGGGAACCCTAGTACAGCTAGTGGGAATGCAGACTGGTGCAGCCATTATGAAAAACAGTATGGAGTTTCCTCAAAAAATTAAATATGGAACTGCCATTTGACCCAGTGATCCCACTTCTAGGAATATATCCTAAGAAACCGGAAACACCAATTAGAAAGAAAGTATGCATCCCTATATTCATAGCAGCACAATTTACAATAGCTAAGATCTGGAAACGGCCCAAGTGCGCATCAGTAGATGAGTGGATAAAGAAGCTGTGGTACATTTACAGCGTGGAATACTATGCAGCAGTAAAAATAGAAGGATCTGTTACCCTTTGAGAGAGCATGGAGGGACCTTGAGAGTGTTATGCTAAATGAAGTAAGCCAGTCAGAAAAAGATAAGTATCACATGATCTCACTCATGTGGAATCTAATTAACAAACTCGTGAATGGAGTGGTTCCAGAGATATGGAACAGAGTGGGTAATCTCAGAGGGAAGGCAGGTGAGGGTGAGTGTGGATGGGTGGGAGGTGATCAACGAAAGAACTTGTATGCATATATGCATAACCCATTGTCATAGACAATAGGGTGGTGAAGGCAGGGGGCGGGGGCGAGTTGGAAGGGGTCTATGGGAGGAAAAGGGACATATGTAATACTTTCAACAATAAACAAAAAATTCAACTAACGTCTACAAATTTAAAAAAATAGATCAGAAATCAATGAAATAGACTTAAAAAGAAAATAGAAAAGATTAGTGAAAACCAGAGCTGGTTTTTGTAAAGAGAAACAAAAATAAACAAACTGTTACCTAGACTCACCAAGAATAAGACAGGACTCAAATAAAATTAAAAAATGAAAGAGGAGACATTACAACTGATACCACAGAAATACAGAGGATTATAAGAAGCTATTATTAACAATTATATGCCAAGTATTAGACAACCTAGAAGAAATGGATAAGTTCTTAGAACCATACAACCTTCCAACACTGAATTATGATGAAATAGAAAATCTGGACAGACTAATTACTAATAAGGAGATTGAATCGGTCATCAAACCCCCTCCCCCCCAAAGAAAAGTTCAGGACTAGATGGCTTCACTGATAAATTTCACCAAATATTTAAAGAACTAACTCCTGCCTTAAACTTTTCCAATAAATGGAAGAAGAGGGAATAGTTCCAAACTCACTTTATGAGGCCAGCACTACTCTGACACGGAAACCAGACAAGGTCACTACAAGAAAAAATTACATGCTAAAATCCTTGGTGAACATAGATACAAAAATCCTTCCACAGAATATTAGCAAACTGAATTCAGTAATGCTTTAAAAGAATCATACACCATGCTCAAGTGGGATTTATTCCAGGGATGCTTCACCATCTACAAATTCATCAGTGTGATACACCACATTAACACAATGAAGGATAAAAATCATGTTCATCTTAATAGATTCAGAAAAAGACATTTGTTAAAATTCAACTCTGTATACAAAACTCAACAAAGTGGGTATAGAGGGAACATACCGCACCATAATAAAGGCTATATTTATATATATAAATATATAAGTGCACAGCTAACATCAACTGTGAAAAGATGAGTGCTGTTCCTCTAAGATAATGAACAAGCAAGGATGCTCACTTGTTTATTCAACATAATATTGGAAGTCCTACCCAGAGCTATTGGGCAAGATAAAGACATTGCCCAGCCAGTGTGGCTAGGTGGTTCAACATTGACCTATGAACTGGGAGGTCATGGTTCCATTCTCCGTCAGGGCACATGCCTGGGTTGTGGGCTTGATCCCCAGTGAGGTTCGAGTGGGAGGCAGCCACTCATCGATGTTTCTATTCTCTCCCTCTCCTTTCCTCTCTGAAATAAATATACTTTTTTAAAAGTTACTAAACTACTTAAAAAAAAAGAAATCAAGACTTTGATATTGGAAAGGAAGAAGTAAAACTGTGTCTATTTGTAGATGACATTATTTATAGAAAACCCTAAAAAGTCCATCAAAAAACTTAGAATTAACAAATTCAGTAAAGTTGTACGATATAAAAATCAGTACAGAAAAATCAGTTGCATTTTGCTACACTAATAATCAGAAAGAGAAAGCATCCCCATTTACAATCATACCACAAAGAATAAAATACCTAGGAATAAATTTAAGGAGGTGAAAGACCTGTTATACTGAAAACAGACATTGATGATAGCATTTGAAGACGACACAAATAAATGGAAAAATAGTCTGTGTGCATGGATAGGAAGAATTAATATTGTTAAAAGGTTCAGACTACCTAGAAGTGGTCACTGGGGGAAAAGGGGGACATATGTAATACTTTCAACAATAGAGATTTTTTTTTTAATGTTCAGACTACCAAAAATAATTTACAGATTCAATTCAATTCCTATCAAAATTTCAATGGCATTTTTCCACAGAAATAAACAGTCCTAAAATTTGTTAGGCAGATGAAAGGGGGTGGAGGAGGTAGAAGAGGGTAAAGGGGGGATAATGGTGATGGAAGGAAACTTGACTTAGGGTGGTAAACACAATACAATATACAGATGATATGTTGTAAAACTGTGCACTTGAAACCTATATAATTTTATTAACCAATGTGACCTCAATGAATTCATTAAAAAAGAAAACTACCATATGATTGAACAATTCCACTTCTGGAAATATAGTCAAAAGAAACAAAAGTAATTATCTCAGAGAGATATCTGTAACTCCATGTTCATAGCAGCATTATTTACATTAGTGAAGACATGGAAACAACCTAAGTGTCCATTGACAGATGAATGGATAAAGAAGAAGATGTGGTATCTTTATACAGTGGGATATTATTCAGCCATAAAAAAGAAGGAAATTCTGCCACTTGGGACAACATGGATGGTACCTGAAGACATTTTTGTAAATGTAATTAGTCAAAGATAAGTAATTATGATCTCACTTATATGTAAACAAAAAAAACACACCAGCTAATAGATCTAGAGATTGGTGGTTGACAGAAGTAGGGGGTGGGGAATGGGTGAAGTGGGTGGACATAGTAAAAATAAAATAGACCCTGGAGATGTAATGTTCACTATGGTGATTACAGTTAATAAGGATATTTGAAAGTTGATAACAGTATATCTTAAAAGTTCTCATCACAAAAAAATTATAACCATGTGAGGTGATGGATGTTAACTAGACTTACTGTGGTGATATTTCACAGTACATACAAATATCAAATCATTATGCTGTGCACCTGACACTAATAAAATGTTGTGTCGGTTATATCTCAACTAAGGAAAAGAAAAGTGATCAGGATAGACCTAAGTAAGAAATAATATTTGAGCAGAGACTTAAAGAGAGTTTGGGGATATCTGAGAGTACAGAATTTCAAACAGAGGAAAAGATCTGAAATTAGGAGTGTTCCAGCCATGTTTGAGCAGGAGAAAGTAATCTAGTGTGGCTGAGGGGGTGAGCAAGAGTGAGACTAGTGGGAAGTCCCTGATATGGGCCCCCAAAATAAAGAGCCTTGGAAAGTGTAGTAAGGACCACGGCTTCTACTCAGTGAAATGGGAACAGCTGTGATGTGAAGGATCACTGATTGCTGTGCTGACACTAAAACAGAAAGGGGCAAGCGACAACCTTTTAAAAGGCTATTGCAATAACAATGAAGGGGATAAGAAATTGTCCCATCTGGATCTAGAAACTGCTAATTAGAAGTTTTTTTTAAAAGCTACTTGATTTCAGAGAGAGGAAGTGAGAGGGAAAGAGAGAGAGAAAGATCAATGATGAGAGAACCATTGATCAGCTGCCTCTGCATGCCACACACTGGGATCGAGCCCCAAACCTCAAACTGTGACCTCCTGGTTCATAGGTCAACACTGAACCACTGAGTCACACCGGCTGGACTATTTGCTAAAATTTTTAAATTTTATTATATCTTAAATACATATCTGTTTTAAACACAATGGAAAAGTGTGTATTTAAAGTATACCTGAAATGTGCTTGAAGAGCTAAATGTTCTTGTTTGTTTTGTGTTTTTTGAGAAAAGGTTGTCAATGATTTTTAGAGAGCAACATCTTAGTGTTCCTTCAAAACAAAAATATAACGGTAGTGTTCAGAAAAATGTTGTTTAAAAATTGGTTTCTTAATACATTGTCTCTATTTGTACAAGCTTTGCCGCAGGAAGTCTACACAGAGTTGTCCAAAGGTAAAACACATTACTGCCATGACATTTTTGTCATCTCCTTTGTGATGTTTGTAGTGAATATACACATAAATATATAATATTTATTTGCTTCACAAGAAGGGAGATAGGAGAATCACTTGATTTTTTAAAAATTTTTATTTATTGATTTTAAAGAGAGGAAGGGGAAAGAGACATCGATTTGTTGTTCCACTTATTTAGGTATTCATTGGTTGCTTCTTGTACGTGCCCTGAGCAGGGATCAAACCCACAACCTTGGCATATTGAGATGGATGCTCTAACCAACTGAGCTACCCAGCCAGAGCCACTAGATGTTTAAAAGGTATTGTGGTTGCCCTAGCCGGTGTGGCTCAGTTGGATTGTCGCCCTGTACACCAAAAGGTGGCAGGTTCGATTCTCGGTCAGAGCACATACCCAGGTTGCAGGTTCTATCTCTGGTTGGAGCATGTGCAAGAGGCAATCGATCAATGTTTCATTCTCTTTCTCTCTCTCCCTTCCTCTCTCTAAAATTAATAAAAATACAAGGTATTGTGGTTACTATTGAGGAGAAGAGAAGATGAACAATAGAGTTATGTAATACTAAAGACCTTTCTTTTAGCCTGTAAACAGTGTTTAAGTCAAGTAGCACCACCTTGTGTTGTAGTAGCTTTCATGATTATAGATTCCTCCTTATCCTATCAATAGATACAATTTCTTCTGAGTTAAGACTTTGCTTCTGTTAAAATGAACATAGTCATAAGAATGTGTAACCAACAAACTGTTTTCTTTCACTCATAATTTGTGTTAAATTTAAATTCATTTACCAAAATTGCTAATTACCAAAAAAGGCTCTGTAGGAATGGAGCAAGGCTTAAAAAGATAGGAATGGAAACAGCTGAGAGGATGGGCATATTCGTATTGGTATTCCAAGAATAGAGATTAGAAAAGTACAAAAATAAATATATCACAATTAATTTCTGGTAAGCATTATATATGATTAACATTAGCAGATAATTTAGCATTGATGTGAAAACTGTCCTACTTCCTGGATGTTGGGGGAAAGGTTTTCTTTCACTTATGCAGAAAGTACAAAATAAAAATGTTGATTAAAGAATCCATCTTTTTTTATTACTGAAAGTATTGCAATTTTTTTAATGTTTAAAAGCAATTTTTTAGATAGCGCTGATTTTATGTAAGTAAGCTCCTTTGATAATACCAATTTTCTGCTTTCAAAATATTATTTTTGGACATATCTAATTTGTTACTCTTCATACCTGGCAAATTTTTATTGATTTAACCATTTTTAGTAAAACCACATAAGAGTACATGCTAGAAGTTGACTATCTTCAAAATTAACACTTCTTTTCTCTTTTCTCAGAATGAACTCACAGATACACGTGCCAAATTCCACGTACTTTTTCTTTTCTTCGTGTCTACAATGTTCTTCATCAGCGTCCTATCACTTTTCAGCTATCACTGCTGGCTAGTTGGAAAAAATAGAACAACAATAGGTAAGTAGGTCAAAATTAATCATAATGATTTAGGGAAATGACCATAAGTGAATATGAAATCTAGAAGACACTAGATGATAAAGAAGTGTAAAATAATTATATGTGAAAATTCACCATGACTGGACAGGAGCAATGGGTATATGTAATGTAAAGGTTGAAGAAGTTAGATTGACTTTTATATATTTTTTCAGTAGCTCATTGTGTATAAAAGTAGAGAACAAGACATATTTTAATACAAGCTACTTTCTGGGAGATTAAAAATGGTGGTGGAGTAAGTGGATACTACACCAACATGTCCCCAGGACCAAACTGGAATTACAACTAAAATACAAAAAAAAATCCTGAATAATCAACTAAAGACTAGCTTGAGAGAACTCTGATAACCAAGGATGAAAAGTGGAAGACCACATAGAGACTGGTAGGAAGGACAGAGGTGCAAAAAGGCTGGCTGGGCTCCCACAGATAGCAGCTGAAGTTCTGGAGAGAGAGCTCAGCTGTGGGTGGTTGCCACTGAGAAATCTGGGGTCTAATCCCCAAGCTGGGTCCCCCAGCAGAGAGCAACAGAACTGAGAAAAGTGCCCACATAACATCTTGCTGTGAAAAACAGCAGATTTGCTGTCTGCCAGGGAAAGACAGCTAGAAATGCAGGCACCCTCTTAAAGGGCCAACACACAAAATTTTGTGTGCAGCCACTCACCTTGAGCTCCAGCACAGGGAAGGCAGAGTGGACTGGAGCTATGTGACCAGAAGCCAGGGTTGGGGGTTCTGGACTTAGAGCTCAGAAGGCAGATACCCTGGTTTCCTGTGCTGATTCATTCCCTCACCCTGTGGAGGTTATCTTTATCAGGTAGACTTTGGCTATCTAGGCAATTTTTGTCTGGGGGAGAAGACAGTTGACCCACCCTACTGGAAAACCCCTGGCCCACCGTGTGGAGTTTTTGAGGCCCATTAAGAGATTGAGAATAACAATTAGCCTGCAGGCAGAAGCAGTTGCCTCACCCTGTTGGCAAACCTAGCACTGCACCTGTTGATGATTGATGATCTGAGGGCTACTCAAGAGTAAATCCAATCAGTCCGCAGAGAGCAGCAGTGTCTGGAGGCCTTGAGTCTTTGCCCAATCTAATTAATCAGAAACAGCATTTGACACTGTCCTACACTTGAGATTGGGTGGTGTAGCAGATCTACCTAGTACATAGTCACAAACCCAAACGAGCAGCCAAAATGAGGAGACAAAGAAACACCCCCCAGATGAAAGAACAAGAGATTTCTCCAGAAGAAGAGCTAAATAAATTGGAGATAAATTTATCTGGTGCAGAGTTCAGAATAATGATGGTAAAGATGCTCAAAAGCATGTGAAAAGATATAGTAACTCTGAAGAATGACAGAATTAATAAAGAACACAGAGGAAGGAATACACAACAGAATAGGGGAAGCAGAGCATCGGATCGGTGAATTAGTAGATAGGGTAGAAAAAAATCACACAGAGAACCAAAAAGAAAAAACAATTACAAAACTGGAGGACAGCTTAAGGGAGCTGTGGGACAACATGAAATTGAATAATATTTGCATCATAGGTGTGCCAGAAGAAGAGAGTGAGCAAGGCATAGAGAATGTGTAGGAAGAAATAAGGGCAGAAAACATCCCTAACCTGGTGAAGGAAAAAGGAACACAAGTTCAGGAGGCACAGAGAGTCCCAAAGAAGAACTCAAATAGGCCCACATCCAGACACATCATAATTAAAATTCCAAAAATAAAAGAGAATCTTAGAGACAACAAGAGAAAAGCAATTTGTTACCTACAAAGGAGCTCCCATAAGGCTGTCAGATAATATTTCAGAAATTCTACAGGCCAGAATGGAGTGGCATGAAGTATTCAAGGTAATGATAAGCAAAGATCTAAAACTAAGATTACTATATTCAGCAAGGCTATCATTCAAAATAGATGATGAGATAAAGAGTTTCCATGACCAAAAAAAAGGCTAAAGGAGTTTATCACCACAAAACCAGCACTGTAAGAAATGTTAAAGGGACTGCTGTAATGAGCAGAAATAGAGGGAAAGAGAAAACTAGGTATACGGAATTAAAATGGCAATAAATAAGTTCCTATCAATAATATCCTTAAATGTAAATGGATTAAATGCTCCAATCAAAAGACATAAGGTTACTGAATGGATACAAAAACATGACCCAATTATATGCTGCCTACAAGAGACCCATCTCAGAACAAAAGATACAAACTGAGAGTGAAGGGATGGAAAAAATTTTTCCATGCAAATGGAAACTAAAAAAATACCTGGGGTAGAAATACTCATAACTGACAAAATAAACTTCAAATTGAAGGCCATCACAAGAGACAACAAAGGTTTAATATATAATATTAATAAAATATTAATAAATTTATTATATAATATTAAAGATATTGATCCAACAACAGGATATAACCCTGGTAAACATATATGCACCCAATATAGGAGCACCTAAATATAAAAAAAAAAAAGACTTCTAGAGGACTTTAAGGGAGAGATTGACAGGAATACATTCATAGTAGGGGACTTTAACACTCTGCTTACTTCACTGGACAGCTTTTTTTTTTTTTTTTTTACTTATTATTATTATTTTTTTTATTAAATCTTTATTTTTTTTTTTTTAAAAATATATTTTTTATTGATTTTTTACAGAGAGGAAGGGAGAGAGATAGAGAGTTAGAAACATCGATGAGAGAAACATCGATCAGCTGCCTCCTGCACATCTCCCACTGGGGATGTGCCCGCAACCCAGGTACATGCCCTTGACCGGAATCGAACCTGGGACCTTTCAGTCCGCAGGCCGACGCTCTATCCACTGAGCCAAACCGGTTTTGGCTATTAAATCTTTATTGTTCAGATTACATTTGTTCCTCTTTTTTTTCCCCCCCATAACTCCCCTCCTCCCAGTTCCCGCCCCACCCTCCGCCCTCACTCCCCACCCACTGTCCTCATCCATAGGTGCACGATTTTTGTCCAGTCTCTTCCCGCATCTCCCATTCCCCTTTCCCCCCCAAGAATAGTCAGTCCATTCCCTTTCTATGTCCCTGATTCATTATAATCACCAGTTCATTCTGTACATCAGATTATTTATTCACTTGATTCTTAGATTCACTTGTTGATAGATGCATATTTGTTGTTCATAATTTGTATCTTTACCTTTTTCTTCTTCCTCTTCTTAAAGGATACCATTCAGCATTTCGTATAATACTGGTTTGGTGGTGATGAACTCCTTTAGCTTTTCCTTATCTGTGAAGCTCTTTATCTGACCTTCAATTCTGAATGATAGCTTTGCTGGATAAAGTAATCTTGGTTGTAGGTTCTTGGTATTCATCACTTTGAATATTTCTTGCCATTCCCTTCTGGCCTGCAAAGTTTCTGTTGAGAAATCAGCTGACAGTCATATGGGTATTCCCTTGTAGGTAATTGAGTCTCTTTCTCTTGCTGCTTTTAAGAGTCTCTCTTTGTCTTTTGCTCTTGGCATTTTAATTATGATGTGTCTTGGTGTGGTCCTCTTTGGATTCCTTTTGTTTGGGGTTCTCTGCACTTCTTGGACCTGTAAGTCCATTTCTTTCACCAGGTGGGGGAAGTTTTCTGCCATTATTTCTTCAAATAGGTTTTCAATATCTTGCTGTCTCTCATCTTCTGGCACCCCTATAATTCTGATGTTTGTACGCTTGAAGCTGTCCCAGAGGCTCCTTACACTATCTTCGTATTTTCGGATTCTTTTTTCATTTTGCTTTTCCAGTTGGGTGTTTTTTGCTTCTTCGCATTTCAAATCTTTGACTTGATTCTTGCGCTCCTCTTGTCTGCTGTTGGGTGTCTGTATAATATTCTTTATTTCAGTCAGTGTATGCTTAATTTCTAGTTGGTTCTTTATCATAGCATCGAGGGTCTCATTAGATTTCGTGAGGCTCTCATCAAGTTTATTGGCAGCTTCTAGCACATTATTGCAAGCCCTCAAAATTGCGTTTTTTAGCTCTATATCCTCCATTTCTGTCATGTTTTTTTGTCTCCGCATTTTTTATGCTTTCTTGGTGCACCCCCTTGTGGTCTTTGTGCGCAGTCTTGTTCTAGTTGAGCCTTGATTGTTGTAGTTAATACTAGAGGGATTTGACCACCAGGCCCACTGGCTGTGAGAATCAGCTGTGTCTGCCACGGGAAAACTTCTGTCCTCTGGAGAGGTGCTAATCTAGCCTTTGCCTGAGGCGATTTGGCAAATGGCTCTGTGCAGGGCTTGGGCGGGGCGGGTCACATGGGATCAACAGGGCAGGCAGAGGGAGCGGTTATGGCTGCTCTCAGTCCCGTTCCCAGAGGCTCTGCTTCTCAGAACCCCAGCAACCGCTGCAAACCTCGGAGAGAAAGCTGCCCTCACGTTCCAACTGATGCCAGACAATCCCGCTTCTCCCGTTTGAGTCTGAGTCCCTAGAGACTCGCCCGGATCTGGAGCTCAGAGTCTGAGACTCCCTCATGATTGAAAACGACAACCGCGCCCTCAGCCACCAGCCCGCTTTGCGCACGCACCACCGCACCTTTGTATTTTCCACACTGCGCCTCCTCTGAGCCTCAGTATGCTGTTGTCTTTCCTTCTAGTTGAAGAATCTCTCCTCAGCCAGCCTTCCTGTGGTTCTGGGTGATGTCCGTTCCATCTTTTAGTTGTATTTTTGAAGTGGTTGTTTGCGGCAGCAGTCTCCGGTGTAGTCCACTGGACAGCTTTTCCAGACAATAAAATTTACAAGAAAACAGGGACTGTAAATGACACACTCGATCAGATGGATTTAATTGACATTTATAGAACATTTCATCCTAAAGCTACAGAATATACATTCTTCTCAAGTGCACATGGGTTATTCACAAAGATAGACCACATGTAGGACACAAAACAAGTTTATACAAGTTCAGGAAGAATGAAATCATATCAAGCATATTCTCAGATCACAATGGATTGAAATTAGAAATCAACTATAGTAACAACACT